GAAACAAAAAACCTGAACACTGACTAGGGCTCAGGATGGTAAACATTAAGTGCACGAGAGTGGCAGATCCACTGTGGCTAAAAGTGCATGCGAGAAGTGTAGCAATACAGTCAAAACAGTCCTTTCAGGTTTTAACTGCTCTACTCATTGCCATCCCATAAGTGATGCCAAACGACGTGAGGCTGTACAACAGTAGGCACGATACGTTTTGGTTCTGGGTGAAGTGTGCAATCAACTTTCTAGTTGTAACGCCACAAAAGCATGAATAGGCGTAAATGGTAGAGAAAATTTTGGACACAAAACTCGCTTCGGTAAGAGTAAGGAAAGAAAATGGTATGATTCATGTCTCGACAATGAACTCCACTGCAAGCCTAATCCATCTGCAAACAAGGTAAGTAAACACTTCGAAAACACTCAAGGCCGCTCAGCCTTTCCGAAACTTGTCGCCTACAGCCCATTAGCCACAATTTCCCTAGGCCTATTTCATCCCACCACACCATGCCGAAACTCAGGAAGCAAGCCAATCTAATGGGCAACTGGGCCGTAGTTACATCTAAGAACATTCCAAAACCAGCAGCTGCAGTTGCTGGTGCCATGTCAAAAACTAATATAGGAGGCGATGCTGCATTGATAAGTAACAGGTCGATGAGTTGCTCAAGCACGACTCGTATTCTTCTAACATGTACTCGGAAACGAGATACCCTGTTCATAACAAGCAACAACCCACGTGAATCAACGTCGAACTCACCAAACGGAAAACAGATGGAGAAGCTGAGCCAATAAAACCTAATAAGCAGTCTGCGACGCGTTCACACTAAACTCACCTAGGTGACGGAAATCCCCCATTACCCGAATTCCAAGCACTATGATGAAGCTGAGCTTTTTGGATTGTGCAGTACTCTATTGATGAGGTAGAAGGTAGCCTGCTTTCGACAGCACGTCATCTGAACGGATTCTGTTCGGTACGTGTCTTTTCAGACGTTCCTTGGAGCAGGCACAAGTGAGCGAAACGAAGCTTAGTAGACTACCGCGTGAATATCGTAACGCGAGCCGTTTTTGTCCACGCGCAGTGGCACCGTATTCGTGATACCCTGCTCTTCGACAAGGTTGCAGCTGCTACCCTCGCAACGTTACCAAGATCAGTAGGCTGAAAAAGAGTGGGGTCCAAGGAGGATGAAAGTAAGGCTTCAAACCACGCAGATAGAATTTAGGCTACTGAAACGCTAGGAGTCACTGGAAGAAACCGACAACCTAACTCCGGTTCAAGACGGCGAACGATGCAGTCGCCTGATATAAAGCACCATCTCAGAAGGCAAGAAAAATGGAGAACGCATTCGATTTGGTAGCACTACAAAGCTTACTATACAAACTTGTCACCGCATCCCACGCGCTGCGCAAAAACAGGTTAGTACAACGCCGCCGAACTTAAACTCAAGCCGCTCACCGACAACAATACAAAAAGGGACTGTTAGTTGACCATACAACGGTCGGCACAAGCTGTTTGAAGGACCACATCTCTTTCGACTCGCTGCTGAGAACCGAGAAACGTTCGTGAGTGCACACCAATTCTCAAGGGATTCTCAGCAAGCTTATCCAACTTCGGCTGCATTAGACGACAAACACTCTGGATCCCACTTCAAGAACGGAGACTTGCTTTTTCCAGATAGTGGTTTACGGAAAGTCACGCTTTGGAAACCAACATCCTAGCAGAAAAAGCCGTGTAATTCTGTATTGCCGTGACGAGTTGCTATGATGCCAGTTGAGCCTTAGATAAGATGACAAATGCTGCGTGCCCATCATTTATCAGGAGATGGATTCCAGCCTGAGGTCGGTATTGACAAATATCTTACTCCTAAATTACAAGCAAACTAAACGATCTGGACGCCTTGGTGCCCCTAAGTAAAGCGTTAAAGACCGATGCGAGAATGCATCGCAAGTACTCCACTGTGCAATCACATCAGCTTGCCCACCAGATACGGGGGAACTCATGCTCGTGAAGTATTGATAGACACCCTACTAGGACTTAGCGATCGTGTTACCATACTTCTGATTAGGTGTGTTATATCGAATACCCAAGGAACACGTTGAATCAACGCACGCCACCACACGTTACATCATTCTGATTTAAATGGTTGCGTCTGTTAATCGTGTACGTTAATGACCTCACGTGTCTGATCAACTCAGATTTCGTGTATTGTGCCCATACAAGATTAGCAGAAGAGGAGTTGCTGCGAAGAGATCCCTTTTCGATAATTCTCCTCAGACATTTACAATTATGAGAAAAGTTGATACAATAAGAGAAGGTATCTAAAGCAGCAGTTGTGAATGGTTAGCTCACAGTTCAGCGGAAGGTCAACGAGGCAACCGGTAGATCAATCAGTCGTTCCGGCCAAGGCAACATGAGCGCCGGAACGATTGACGCCGTCCGTAGCTACCTATGTCCAGGACTAAATGTGAGCTTTGACACTAAACCAACCATTTCTTTCTTGTTATGATTGCCTTTTAGTGTTTGGGGTGGGGAAGCGCGTGATGTTCAACACGTGATTGCATTGATTGATCTACCGGTTGTCTCCTTGAACTTCTGTTGAACTGTGAGCTAACCATTCACTACTGCAGCTTTAGATACCTTCTCGTGTTGTAGCAGGTCTTTCATAATTGTAAATGTCTGAGGAGAATTATCGAAAAGAGATCCCTACGTAGCAACTCCTCTCCTTCAACTCAGATTTCTTACATTTTGGTTATGCTACTAAGATGTGTCGGGCGATTGACAACTAAGAACACGATGCACTTCAACGAAATCTCGTCAATGCGTATGAACAGGCATTTCAAAATCTACTCGTTTGATTCATCCGAATGTAAGGTGGTTCACATTCGTTGTCAACCGAGCAGCATACACAAGACTGAAGACGGCATCTTGCATGTGGTCACTCAGGAGAGCGACATTGGGGTATTAATTTTGTTTGTCCTCAGTTACTCAAAACAAAATACACCGGTCTTCTGCGGGGGGCATTCGGGCAATTTGATACATGTCTCCTCGCAGATGCTCAGCGCATACGTGCGACCTTACTTGACACACGCTATACAAACCTGGTAGCCATTGTAAAAGATATATATCGCCGTGCTCGAAAGTGCAAAGCGAAGATCAACAAGCGCATAAAGGGATTGTTCCACTTCCATGTCAACTCAAACGGAAGATTTAAGATTGTAGAGTGGTTAATATCAATGCCTACGGGGGGACCAAATAATGACATACTAGATACTAAGGAGCCCAAATCAGATATATCGCCAACTTTCGGTGAGCCCACAAAAACTTCGTTTTATCATCATGTTTTATTTGCCCATTTTGTGGTTTGCATTCTGGCGATCCCACGTGACTTGCTGAGCACGTATTTCTTTTACCTGCAAGACATGATCTTTTAGTGTCCCTCAGTACTAAGGCTATCTGTTAGGTGGGTAATAAAATCATTGAGATTTTTAATCTGTAAATGTAAATGCACATATCGTGGCAAAGAATTAACATTTGTACCCGAAATAAAAACTAGTGGAATTGACACACCTAGGTCAACGAGATACAAGTTTATTAATTCCGGATGAATAATATTCCGCAGTTCTGGTGGCAATGAAATCGTAGAATGTGGTTTCAGCATGTCCTGTCGATCTAATACATTTTTCTCGTAAGAAGTTATTCAGGGGCATAGAAAAGTGTTAATAGGTAAGCTAGAGGCCAGGGAAGTATGGCGGGTGAAGCAGTTTCGTAGCCCAGCTCGTGCGGCTTCCGAAGGGTTGGTTGTGCGACATGTGACTAAACGGAGAAGAACTGGCCGTTTTCTGTTGCCAGTGCCTGGCACCTGTGTTGATGTTTTTGATGCATATCGACAATTTGTTGATAAGTCTCCTCCACTGTAATGGTTTCACCTTGTAATGGATCAGATCACCCGCAGACGACCAAACAGTCACCATTACCTTAATTGGGTGCAATTTCGGTTTTGGGAAGTGTTGTGGAGCTTGATCGCCGTCCAACCATCGAGAGGTTCGTCATCGATAGTCGTAAAGGATGCACTTTTCATATCGTCGCAATCCTGTAGAGAAACAGGTCGTGTTTATGGCGCAGAAGAAGGGCAGACGACACCACAAAACAACGGCCTCTTTGATCTTCATTGCATTCGTGCGGCACCCACTTAACAAGTTTTCTGTTGACATTTAAATCGCCCTTAATTATTTTAGAACTGTCCTAGGCGATACCGCTAATTCAGCAGCAAGATATCGTATAGTCTTACGCGGTTCTGCTCTAACTAAGGCCTTGAATTGATTGCTGTCCACTTCCAATGGTCGTCCTAAACGATCTTCATCTACAAACCCCATGTAACCTGTTCAAAATTTCTGAAACCACCAGTGTGCAGTACGGGTATATGTGGTTCCAGCACCAAGTGCGCTGTTATCATGGGCTGTTTTCGCTGCATTTCGACCAAGCGTAAATTGGTACAAGAAAATTGTGAGAATTTCTCTTCTGCCCATGTCGCATTAAATGTTCTGTAAAGATGTGAAAATATGTTTCTGAGGGAAACTGTCCCCGTAATTATCTAGAGCGCAAAACAGGCTTCCAAATGATATATAAGGTCAGGGCAACTTATTAAAAGTCATAGAAAAACAGCACTTAAAATAAAAATATATCAAAAAAGCAATGACTTTTTTCCCAACCTAATAACTCTTAGGAAAGTTCGCCGCAATGAACCGCTAGCATAGAAGAATGATAGTACTTTAAAGGAAGATACACACACACAAAGGCGCGGTCCGCAGCGCGAATGGCGACGGGACGTCTTCCAAGCACAAAATTAAAGAAACGCACGTTTAGGAATGGAGAAACATAAGTAAAGGTGGGTACAAAAGAAAAATAATTGAAGGAAAAAGCAAGGTATGAGAGATACTTGGTAAAGGCAGATAAATTAAACAAACTGAGCGACATCAATATGACTGTTAAAGGTTGAGTCATGAAACTATACCTTGAACTAGATTATTCTCAAACACGGTAGCAGGTGAGCTGAACACAACGTGTTGACTGAATTTCTTCATTGTACTGAGAAGGAAAACATAGGTGCACTTCAGTAGTAAGATCCGATAAATAAGTATTTTCACATAAAAGCGAGTTGTCCTCAGCTAAGAGATGATCACGAAGCCGCGTATATGAAGTGGAGAAGACATGAAAGTTATTGGAACCAGTGTGAGATGCCACAGATTGAAAGCAAAGCCAGAGGGCCGCTTAAGCACAGAGCAAACTCGACAAAATGCTATACGTCGAAAGCATTTCAAATCAATCGGTCACAATAACGTAGAGCCCAATTTTCACATAATCAGTCTAGGGCGCTTTAAAGTAGCTAAGAGAAGTCACGAAGAAGACTGCGTATAATGAGTGATGATATAGTGTAAAGCAGAGCACCAAACGATAACGAATTGGCCAAGATCGTGTAGGCCATCAAACCTGAAATATATCTCACATGCACGACAAATAGCGTTGGGCAGAAGACATAATATCATGTTAACGTGCTTCAGGAGATACAGATGGTCCAAATTTGTACGCTATTAGGGACTGTTGGTGAAGAACCGAGGCAGAAGCAGAGATTAAAAGAAATGGGATCTTACCTAGCATCTAAAAAAATCATTTCCGCAGGAGACACAGTGATACCATAAATGTGATGTAGCGCGCGGAGAACGGCCTAGAAAAAGCGAGAGAATACGCATAAAATAATGTGAAAGAATGCATATTGTAAGCTATCATGCTAACATCTGTCCAATGGCGTGAAAAGCTCGCGTAAAAATTGGAACAGTACAGCAGAAATAAACACGAACTATTATGTCCCATTTGTGGACATAACTACAAACAAACAACCCATAAAATGCGTCAAACCAATTGCAGCACAGCTTGTATTTGAAAATTCAAATGAATGAACAAATAGCCTTACTCCTCCGCCAAATCGAAGTCAATACACTCAAACAATGGAAATAGTGTCGGGATAATGCTCGGTTTGAATGTGTCGCAGCTTGAAATATACCATCCTACGAAGTAGAGGATATGCTTGGCGCACTGAGAAAGCAGCTGTTAATAAAGGGGTGCCCGGTATCATGGAGAAGGCTGTAACTGTCTTCCACGAATTGCTATCAGATATATCAGACATGAAAAGGAGGTACTCTCAATACGGAAGATTGACAACTTACTCAATGCAGCGAAAAAGCTGGAGAGCGCCAAAAAACAGGCAAAGACTCTGTCCACAAAAGGGAAACTGTAGGACCACTACGGCTCTACGGGGTTTCATGTAAAGCCCACACGTGAGAACCTCGGCACTAATCGTACCACCTCAATTTTTGGCCCGTTTGAATTGGTCATTGGCCTTCTTAATTCTCACTCTGACTCATCCACGTTGTACTGCATCGTCTTCGGTAATGCTGCCCGCCTTGCCTGGCGTCTGATCTATCCGCGAAACCAAAAGTCAAGGCTCGATAGACGGCGTATATTTTATGAAAAGGAAGGTCGTATCTATAGGTCAACCATGAACTCCGCATCTTCGGCGCTCAGGTCTCAACCAAGTGGAGCGCGTCCCGCTAGCCTGGTTTGCTGTATTTGACCAATTGATTGTGTCAAGGCGCGGCCCTCAGTCGACCATCACCTGTTTTCCAGCCAGGCACATCGCGTCTGTGTTCCGTATTTGGTCGGGTGTACACGCTAGGGTACAAAGCTTCCTTCACCTGAGTTCGCTAGCCAATCATTCCCCACCTGTGTTCCATAGCTGCTCGGTCGTTTGCGAGTCCAGCGTGAAGGTCATTCAAGCTGTCGACACGGCCTAATATCGTAGCGTCTTGAGGAGGTATACGCTCTGTTTGGCCACCTAATAACCCAGACAAACAGCACTTACTCAAGCGGGTTCCAACGTACAGATATCCAATGCGAAGTCCTTTGGATTGCATCTCAACCTTTACTTGTAAAGATAGACACCATCCGTTAAAAATCGAACTACTATGGCTTCGAAGAAACCGAAGCTGTCTTATACAAAATGGCCCATTAGTAATCAGCAGCTGGAATTCTAAAAATTTCACCGTATAGCCTAGGGAACAAAGAATATGTGATGGGGATATCTAGCTGCCGCACATGTTTATGGTCAACATTATTACGCTTAAATACTCCATGCTATGGAATCGATTACCTCAGGCTATCAAAGGCTAACCTTCGATTCGGATATTTAGGATGTAATAAAATAGTACTTAAATGTTAAAAACATTAAAGAACCGTTTTGCATAAGTTGCACAGATGAATGGATGCGTGAGACCGGGCCCGATAATATCTAAGCACTCCCGGAGTGAGAGATGGAGAGGAGTTTGTCCATACGACGTGTTCTATACGACATGTTCTCTAAGCATGCTTTTGTTATATAAATTAGTTCTATCTCTGGTTGTTCCCTACTAAACTGTCACATCATTCGCTATTACTCAAATTGACGACTCACCGACGGACTATGAAAACATGGGCACATCGAAAGGTGGAATAAAAGACGCCAATCTGATTTATCATATTCTACACTGTTACTCAGATAGATGACTCCCTGATAGACTATGACAAACAGACGCACGGTAGCCCTATGCATGACCCTCCCGTAGTACTTCAGCACTCATAACCAGCTAGATAAAAGACGAACAAGTGCCTGAAAGAATTACATATACTGGACGGTTGTACATTTGTTGCCCACTTATTAAACCAAATAACTTGTGCACATAATTCTTTGTACCCTGCTTCCGCTACGGTCTCAGCGATCGCAGTGACCAAGATTCACTTCAACGTGAATTGCGGTCCACATTGAGATTGCGCGTCACAATCCAATCACACAACGTGTAATCCAAAATTGACACACCAATTAGTCATTCACCGTCGTGATAAGCGTTGCCCGGCTTGACCCGGTAGCCCAATGGGTAGAGGTATCCGCTACTATTCCGAAGGACGCGGATTCGACGTCTGCTATCTCCAACTGATGAGATGAAATAACATCGAGACGCGTCGTGGTTTGGCAATATTTCCGGGCGGGTAACACCCAATTTCCATCTGCTTCTGCTACGGTCCTAGTGATCGCAGTGACCAAGGTTTACCTCAATTGTCAAATTCCGAGGACCTGTTAGTATGGATGATTTGCGCGAGATACTAGTGAAAATGCAGGAGCAGGAAACTGTCCCAGCAGACTGGAGCCTCCCCGTTATTGTCCGCACCGCGGCAACCATAGAGGAACCAGTCTGATCCTTATCGCTTCAAAAATGCTTACCACTGTAATCCTTCACTGGTAGACGTGAAGAGCAAGCCGGGTTTCATCGAGATCGGGGACACGACGATCACATTTCCTATTACGTCAATTAATGGAGCATTATCACATATATTGACAACCCACCATTGCCGTGTTCCTTGACATCAAACGTGCCTTCGATTCGGTCGATTGATGTGCCCTTTGGGACTGTCTACTAAGGAAAGGTGTGCCCGAGAAATAGGTAAATATTATCCGAGCGCTTTACGTGCGTAGCTCCGGCAAGCTGTCACTAACCTTCAATATCTCCATTGGTGAAAAGCAAGGATGCCTGCTGTCATTATTCCTCTTCAATTTCGTTATTTACGAAGTCACGGAAATTGCGTTCACCCGACATGACTTAAAAGGAGTGGAGCTACTGCTAGGTGAACGAATTCTTGCCTTGCAGTATGCTGACGACCTGCCCTCATCTGTGACAGCTCACAAACGTGTCACACAGTATAAGACAGATTAGCACTGGCTGTCAGCCGTTTCAGGCTTTGTTTTGCGCCCTCAAAGTGTAAAGCTTTCCACTAAGATTGACAGCGAGCATCTCCTGTGCTGACCCTTGGTGGGGATCGGCCAGAAGACATTCCGAAATGCAACTACCTAGGCAGTCCTATCAGCGCTTGTGAAACGGAAAAGGTCACGAACCACACAGTACATGCTTGAGGCGTTTGGCTAACCTTAGGCAGCTATGGAACCAAAGCGACATCACTCACTATCAGAAGAGCAGAGTTTACAATGTAGCCGTCCGTTAAACCCTCATGACCCATCAAATCGAGATACAAAGAGGCTAGTTACGTTCGCAGTTTGGCTCATAGCTGGTGGGAAAACCGTGTGAATTATGAATGTATTCAGCGACTTGTTAATGGCACAGGAAGTGGAAGGGAACCACTCAGCAACATTTCATGCAGCAGGCTCCGATGGTTGGGCCACGTGGTGCGCATACCAACACACCGACTCCCGCGACGCGCGTTGGTTTCGCTCCGGGGTTGTGGACGTAAGAATAGGAGGGGAGGCCAAGCGATAACTTGGTCAGGAGGAGTGAAGACCCTCACTTCGAAATTGGCCTCCGTTTGGGTTTCTCGGCTCCCTTGTTGAGGTTCGAAAGATTATGAACACATGGCTGGATACACCTGTTGACATGACTAGGAGTCGACCTCAGTGGAGTTTGGGTTGCGAGTTTTTTTTGTCCCTCGCCCTCCAACCACGATCTCATTTCGTACGCATAGCATAAGGTCTGTTTTGCGGCACAATAGCCAGATGCTAGCTCTCCGAAACGATGCCCATCCGTTACTGGTGTCTCAGCTGGCGTACCTGTCACACGTTTATTAGTATTATTTCCATACGGATTGCAGCAAAGTAGCTGAGGTGTTTTCCATCCTAGTTAACGTGTATGATGACAATGACCTCCCCATGCTGATGCCAATGCTGCAAGTGTGCGCACTAAGCAGTACTCGCGGTCACCGGTAGAAGCTCGTGATACGGGACCTAAAGTGGATAACTCATCCTCTTTGCTTCTGGCGGCGAGTGGTAAAATATTTGAACAATATGCCGAGACAAAATTGCTGTCGGAATTCAAGCAATTCCTAGACACGCACCTTGCGGATCACAGATTTAGGGAGCGCATTGCACTCGAATAGCCTATGGCGCAGGTGCAAACTCGCAGGAATCAGCGAGGAGATTTCAGGCACGTGTCCGATGTAATTGTGATGGAGTAACATAGATATAATTCTTAAGAAAGGTGAAACATTTTGCTCAGTTTACCCATCTAATCAACGCAGAAAGAAAACAAATATCGCGACATGTTTACAGTACGATTGCTCTCGTCATTCGCGGACGCAATACATGGTTGGCGGCATCCGGTCTCGGATTTGCCTGTCACCGTGGTCAGCCACAGGACGCCTGCGCCTACAGAGGGACCATGGATGGCTTGCGCTGCACCACACGCAGCTCCAACCACACACACCCCTATCCAGTGTAAACCTGATGCAAACAGACCGAGAGGCATGTGGATGGGAGCCACGTTTCATCAAAGGATCCGGCCCCTAATCCTTCGCAGGCAAACACAAGCACGCTGTATTTGGGAATCAAGCGCTCATAAGGCGGTGGCTGGACCGTAGTGCGCTCCACACTGAGTGCATGGAACCATTATTGATCCTAGCACGGTCACAAGGAACGTGCACCCCGTCCCGTACAGCAACGACCAACTGTCTCCTAGAGCCAGTATGGACGAGGTAGTGAGTAATAGACAGGTAAACACCCTGTCAACATGCACATCAAGCGCAGCCACACCGGGGATATCAAACAACAGGCATTCACTGGAAATGACCTTATCCAATGAAATATGTCTGTCAAAGCATACGGCGATACCGACGTAACTCTTCGCTAAATTA